CTGTGCTATGAGGGCAAGGGGATCCTGGGGTCTCATGAGAAGCAGCTGAATTTCCAAGCATAGAGCTGCAGAGCCACCCAGTGGCTACACACACACATACACACACACACACCCCACCCTCAGCACACATAAACACCACCCCCAACACACACAAGCACCCAACACAGCCCAACACCCCCCAGACACCCCCCCACCTCCAACATACACAGCTCTACACCCGCCACACACACACCATCCTGCCACCACCAACACACACATCTCTACACACACACACACCACTCCCAGGGAGACCTTGTGCTTCCTTCTCCACACTCAGGCAGTTAGAGTTAGGCTCAGCCACCAAGGAAGAGCTCTGAATCCAAACCCTGCAGGTGCATCACAGGACTGAAAGAAGGCCTCCCAAACTACCAACCTCGGTTCTCAGCATCCAGAGACAACCACCTGCCCAATACTCCAGTCACTAAGCATGTTACAGAAATAACTAAGCCTCCTGCCACAACTGGTTGCAGGTAAAAGCAAAGGAGACAAGGCCATCACTGCTTCTCAGCAGCCAACCCCTATTTTCTGGGGACTGCTCCTTCTCTTGTGGACAGTCACAACCTCCTCCTTCACTGCTATAGCTCTCAAGATGCACTTCCCTTTCTCTCAAGCTGCTGGAAGTGACTGCTCTATTGAGCCACCCAAAGGCTGCAGGGCACACGACCTTTACCACATTAGTGACAGCAGTGTGGCCAGCCTCAGCAGAGTGGGAAGAGGGTGTGCCAGCATACAAGCTGGTATGGTAGCCCCACTGACACAGCACCAACCACTCTGGGGGCTGAGATGTGATTTTCCAGCAAAGCTAGAACCACGAGTGGCAGGATTGAGAGGAGGGTGCAAGTGTCAGTGAGGCCCTGCTTATGCCAATCCCTGACAGTGGTGAGGCTGCTGTACCAAGACCACTGCCTGACAAGCTGATCAGGATGGCCTGGCTGCTCACATTCCCCCTTCTCCCGAGATAATATGCTCCTTTGGGCAGCTGCCACCTTCCAGGCAGGTCTTTGTGCAGTGCCTGACACTATGGAGGGGAGGGGTGATCCCTGGCTGGGCTCCTTTGGGCATGGGTGTCAAACATGTGGCCAGATGCAACTTGCTTGCATCTGGCTTGTTGGGCTACTGGAAGTTGTGGGCATGGCCAGGTGCAGTGGCCTACTGGAGAAATCAGAGGTCCACAGGCCCTGGTGGACATGGCCATTGACCCATTGTGGCTTACTCTACCACTGCTAGTCCTACCACAGCTGCTGCCAGTCCTGCCACTGTCTGCACTGATCCTGACACTCCCATGCCATGCCCCGTGCCAGATCCAGCCTACAAGCCCCGTGGTCCAGATCACAGGAGGCATTTGATATTCCTGGGGGTTATCACAGTACAGGTTGCAGACTAGCTAGACCAGCATTGAAATCTACTGAATGTGAGAGGTGGGAGTGACCATGGATCCGCAAGGGGGAGGACTCAAACAGTGTGGTTTTGCCACCAGTCACTGCCACGTTACAGCCAAAGGTCTACTGGGACACACAGGACAGAACCGCTCACAGCAATGATCACACTTACCTCACACTCCTGAGACTTGTCCATCCACCCTGTGTCTCGAGGAAAGATGCACCCCAGTTTGGAGACAACCTTCTCTGAATGTGGGCAGGCGGCAAGCGGAGCACCATCTCCAAACAGGGCAGAGCAGACAATTGTCCACGAGGGGGAGCCAACAGTACAGCTCAAGCAGACTGTCTTCTCAGTGTTAAGTCAAACCACTCTGCCTTCCAAAATGTCACTTAATTTACACTAAAAAGGCCAGAAATCCAATCAGGGGTTTCAACTGGCCCAACTCCAAGGCGGGGGCTTCTTGGAGTTAACCCTTTGAGAGAATTGCCAGGCTTGGCTTCCCACCCCCACTAAGAGAAAAATGAAAAGGACTTGGAAACTTACTGGGTGGGGAAGAACACGTGTTTCCAGCACACAGTGATGTTAGCTAGGTGGCAGGGAAATTACAGTCCCACCCATCTACCAGCACAGGACAGCAGGCACCAGCCATTCACAGGCCACTCCTCAAGAAAAGGAGAAGCTGCAGCACAAGCCTGGATTGACAAGATTTAGCATTGACAGAATTGAACAAAATGGGCTTAGACTAACTCCACCTGTGCTGCCCAGCATTGCTGGACCCATGCAGGTCTGCTGTGAGGAACTTCAAACACCCACTTCAATCTTGGGGTCAGTCACCCAACAGCTACGGGACATAATCTAGGCATAACAAGGACATAAAGCAGCAAAATGGCCTTGATTCTGTTTACCTGATGTCAGTAACAAGCTGCTTTCAGCACCATTACCAAAGCACCAGCTGATGGCAGAGTCAGCTCAGATGCAGCCTCCATCCAAATGTCCTGTTGCTGACCTAGAAACAAGGAGTTAATTGCAGAGTAGCAGCAAGGTTCAGAGATGGGCTTTGGGACCCAGACCTGGCACCCCAGAGACCAGGGTTATTATCCCAGCTCTGCTACTGCCTTGCTGTGTGGTCATGGGCCTTGCACAGAGCAGCTGCTTATTAGACAGCCACAGCTAGCCTCCACCTAGCAGGCAGGGCCCCAGTTACTTGTACTTAAACACAAGCTCCCCCAGTCTTACTATAAAATGCAACACAGGCAAAGCTCAGTGTCTGTTTTCTGGTCTGCAATATGAAAAGTGCCTTCTTAGTAACACATGCTGAGCTCTAGAGGGGCAGGGAGGTATGTACTACCATATTTCTCCATATACTACATGGTCCCAAATAAGACGCACCTTGGTTTGGCCAGGCAGAATGAAGCAGGGAGGGGAAAAAATTCCCTCTTTAACCAAACTGTTCTGAACCTGTTTCTTAGTTTAAGACACACACCCCAATTTTTGATCGCTAGTTTTGGGGAAAATGGTGTGCAGTATGTGAATAAATCAAGTCAGACTCCTTCCTGCCCCCATGGTACTGAGACATTGCTGAATGGAGTTGGTAGAAGTGGTACCCGTATGAGAGCCCAGAAGCTTGTCACTGACTTGTGGCAGGAAAGTACCAACCATGCAGGCACAAAAGTCCATCCTTATTCTTCCCCATATCTCAGGTTTGCTTTGAACCTACCCTTCATAGCCAAAACAGAATCATAAAAAATGAGGGTTGGAAGGGACCTCAGGATGTCATCTAGTCCAATCCCCTGCGCAAAACAGGGCCATTCCCAACTAGCACAGCCAAGGCTTTGCTGATCCGGGCCTTAAAAACCTCCAAGGATGGAGATCCCACCACCTCTCTAGGTAACCTGTTCCAATGCTTCACCACCTTTCTGGTGAGGTTTTACCTAATATCCAACCTAAGCTTCTCTTGTAGCAACTTTAGGCCATTGTTCTTCATTCAGTCATCTGCCACCCCTGAGAACAGTCTAGATCTAGCACAGCCCATGCCACTAGAGACCAACCTCACACCAGGGTGATACGCAATGTCAGGAATGGAGAAAGCTCCTAAACAAATCAACTAGGAGGAAGATCTGTACTTGGTTACAAAGATCAAGCTCCAGCCTGTTAAGGTGGTTTAACAGGATGACATTACCCACCTATAAGATAGAGAAAACCAGTGTATACAGAACAGTGCAGCAGCCACAGAGCTGGAGAGATAATCTAAGTCCTGTGATACCTGGCTGCAGCCTACTGCTGTGGCTCTTTGCAGAGCACAAGCCAAACTTGGTTGAATTTTATTCCCCATGTCTCTAGCAGATCATGTGACACACTCCGGCAATGCTCATTGTCATGCTACCTGCCTGTCACAAGTCACCCAGAAGTATATGGCTGTCCCTTCACTTACCCGTGATGGCTCGTGTGGGCCCTGAGCCAGACAGATCTAAAGTTTTGCCCATCTTGCTCTTCTTAGGAAAAGGTCCTAAGAAGTGTGTAAAGTAACTATTGCTAGCTGCTACTTTTGTACCAAGACCCAGTTCATGGTGAGGCCTGACCAAGGCTGCCATCTCCGACATCAGTGGGGGGCCAGCCTTTTTGGCTAGTGTGCCACAAGCGAAGCTCCATCCCCTCCCCAAGTCCTGCTCTGATCACCACCCCCCTCAGATGCTTATCTAGTAGAGTTTGTCCCTGGGGCGCTGGAATGGAGGCAGGGGAGCTTGAGCCACTGGCTGTGTGGAGCAGCATGGGGGCAGGTGGCTACTGGGAGAGGTGTCCCCAAGAATCAGGTTTCTTTTCCCTAGACACAGAACCAGGGGGACCAGGGGAAGGGAAGGAAGGAGAGACTGTGTGCAAGCAGAGGGGGAACTACATGCTACTCAAATGTTATGCTTGTCCCCTTCCCCTCCCAGTTTTATATAACAAGTGAGGATCCAAAGCCCTGAATTTGGTGGTGGCTCCATTTGGTTCTTGAAGGTGATATGGACTGGAAGTGGAAAGCTCAGCCCCCTCCCACCCTCCATATACTGTTTACACAAGGGCTGTACTGTGAAGCATCTAGAAGAGAACAAAGTGACCAGGAACAGCCAGCATGGATTCACATAGAGCAAGTCCTGCCTGACCAACCTGATTTCCTTCTATGACAAGGTGACAGGCTCTCATCGATGAGGGAAGAGCAGTGGATGTGATATCCCTTGACTTTAGCAAGGCTTCTGACACCATCTCTCACAACACTTTAATTAACAAGCTAAGGAAATACAGAATAGATAAAAGCACTGTAAGGTAGATACATAATTTGTTGGATCATCATGATCAACAAGTAGTTATCAATGGCTCGATGTCTAGTGGGGCTCCCCAGGGGTCTGTCCTGCATCAAGTATTGTTTAATATCTTCATTAATGATTTGAATGATGGAATCAAGTGCACATGTATCTAATTTGCAGAAGACACTAAGTTGGGTGCAGCTGCAGGCACTAGAGGGCAGGGCAAGGATCCAGAATGACTTGGATAGACTTGAAAAATGGTCCACAATCACCCAGATGAAATTCAACAAGGACAAGTGCAAAGTTCTGCACTTAGAGCAGAATAATTGCATGCACAAATACAGAGTGGGGAATGACTGGCTCAGCTGCAGTACTGCAGAGAAGGACCTGGCAGTCAAAGTAGATGGTAAGATGGATACAAGTCAGTGTTCTCTTGTTGGCAAGACACTCACTTCATTGCCAGACACAGGCCACAGCCCATCATGACTCACCTTTGATTTCTCTTTGGGATGCACCCTCTTCCCCCAGCTCCTAAGAGTCACCCCCTCCTCTCCCCAGAGAAAGACACCTGGGGAGGCGTGGCGAGTCCGTGTCCGTATGGAATGGTTTTTATTACAGTTTAATCTCACAGTTGGCAGCATTACATGAGAATAAAGCACTGGACAGGACTGGAAAAGGCCTCTGGAGATGGCATGCAAACACTGCAACAAGTTGAAGCGAAACAATCCAACAACTGGCCTTGGTTTCTTCGGTCTGGTCTCACCCGTCTGGTTGGCGGGTCTGGGAGCCTGCTCTCTTTTGGGCGGCTGTTGGGTTGCTTATTCGGGTTGTTTGTTTTTTAATTACATTAAAAAATAAGCGTCGTACTTCAGTAAAACCCAGCACATAGCTGGTTCCTTGTTTCCATGTGAAATAATAATATTTAAAAAAAAAAGACTGAACCAGAAGTTGGGGTTTCTGTTTTGTATTATTTTGTTTTGAGCAATAGCAGGAATCCCCCCTCCTAGACGTGGAACAAGGCCCGGCATCTCAACGCCCCCTCCCCGTGCTGTGTTTAAGCCATGTCCCTACCCGCATCCCCCACTGTTGTGATCCTGTGAGAGAGAAGCAGAGACACGACCCCAGGGAGAAACTGAGGAGCAAAAGAGAGATCCAGTTGGGGGGAAGGAAAGGGAGACTGTGTGTATGTGTGTTCAGGGGGGCACCACATGCTCCTAAAACATGATGCTTGCCTTCCCCCTCCCAGGCTGATCCCTTCAGGGCAGGAAGGGCTGGTGGGAACAACTTCACTCAAGTCACTCTCACTCATGCATCTCCAGACAACTCAGCCAAAAGGATCTGGGAAGGGGTGGCCAGGGTGGGCAAAGGGGATGGGGTGCGTTTACACAAGTCCAATGGGTTCCTCTAGGACAGTCCTGTGGGCCAAGCCTCAGAGCAGGTCCGACTCCTGATCCAGTGGCTCACGTGAGTCTTTGTGCCCTCCCTCTGACCAGTGTGCATGAAGAGGGGTAGGGCCCGCTGGGGAAAGGGGCAGGGCGGGGGAAGAGCCCTGCCCCTGCCTCACAGGTAGAGCTCGTTGGCTTTGATGTGCTCTAGCTGTTCCCGTAGTTGGTGGAAGGAAGGCCGATGGTTGGGGTCCAGTTCCCAGCACTTCTTCATCACCTCGTAGACAATTGGGGGGCAGCCGTCAGGCGGGTCCATCTTGTAGCCCTTCTCCACACGGGGAACGACGTCCTTCAGAGGCTGCAGGGGGAGAATGAGGCTGAGGAGATGGCTCTCTTGCTGCTGCCCTGGTGAGGGTGCAGACAGACCTTGGGGACACCCCCATTGGGTCAGCCCCTTCCCAGCGCACACATGAATCCCCTCCTCCAAGAGCTCACAAACCCCAACCTGCTTCATTTCCCTCCCAGTCCTAGCCCCAGTGGCTCCATCCCCAGACCCCATCACAGTTCAGCTAGGGGCTCCATGGATCATAGGTGTGTTGGCAGCAGGGCACACCTAACAGCTGGGGGTGGGGGTGTATACCATGGGATGAGCTAGAGCATCAGCAAACCTGCCTCTGCTGTGGTTCCCTGGCCCCTCTCCTCCCCACCCATCATGGCAATGCTTAGACCACACACCTCACTGAAATCCTCCGTGTAACCACACTGAGAGGCAGCCCCTGCCTGGAAGGGTGCATCACCCGCATGAGGCAGGGCAAAGGGCAGGAGGAACACTGAGCACTGTAGTGACTTGCCTGCAGTCCCTGGCAGATCATGGCAGAACTGAGAAAAAGAACCCAGGTGTCCCAAGTGCCAGCCCAGACCTTTGCCAGCCCAGACCAATGACTGGACCCTGGTAGTCATTGGCTTCACCTTCCTTTTATTCATGGATCAAGGTTAGAAGGCCAGAAAGGATCATCTTCTCTGACCTGCCTGACGCAGGTGACAATACTGGCAAACTCCTGTTTCCCTTGGGAAGATGCAGCCACTATTCTATGAAAGTGCTGGGGTCGAATTGTCCAGCATGACCCCCTGGCAAGGTGGGCAGCTGCTCGCTGTTAAAATCCTGCCCCTTAATTATAGCCTGATCTTGACCAGCTTCAACCTCAGCTGCTGAATCTTGCTGGACCCTTGTCTACTAGACTGAAGTGCCCTCTGATATCAAATCCCTGCTCGTCATAGGTATTCCAGACAGCCATCTCTTGCCCCTGCCATCTCTTGCTTTCCTCTCTTTGATGAATTAACCCAGTGCTGCAAAAGTTTTTAGAGAGGTGGGCAGGGTGCTTGCAATCCAACTAATCCCTGCTTGTGGCCAATCCCCAGCACCATAAACTGGATCCAGCCCATGGGCCATAGGTGGAGCATCAGTGACACAAAGAGATGGAGCCCCTGGAGGCTCATTGCCAGGAATTCTTTTGGCATATCAGCCTGCATCACAAGCTCTGGAGGACAGGGCCTGCCTCCTTCACTATGCCTGATCAGGGCCCAATAGCAGACGACCCAATGCCTGACAGCCCCAGGGGCAGTGCACTCAGTAGGTGACTCCTGAAGGAACCCTCTGTGCTAGGCTCAGTAGGCTCAGCAGGATGGAGGCTGAGCTGCTCCCCACAACTGGCAAACAAAGGAACGCAGAGCCACACTGCCTAGGCAGGGGAAGATCCAAGAAGAGGAACTCTGGCTGGAAGGTAGGTGGCCCCTTCTCCCCCCGCCGGGGCACCACCCACACTTACGATTCTCGGATAAGGCACTCGCCCGAAGGAGTAGATTTCCCAGAGGAGGATCCCGAAACTCCACACGTCAGACTTGGTGGAGAATTTCTGTAGAGAAGAGAGCCCAGGGAGGAGGGGTTAGTGTGACCAGCTGGGGACAGAGAGGAGCCAAGCAGGGAAAAGGGCCCCAATCCAAGCCCTGCCCTCCATCCACAGGGCCCCAGAGGGGCTGCAGGATATGGGTAGGAGTAGGATTGAAACAGCCCATTAATTCAGCCCTAGGGCACCCCAGGCTAGCTCTGGACAGAGCAGCCTTTGCTGGGGAGGAGAAGGCAACACAAGCTCTGTTCTGTATTACAGGCTGTATTGGTCCAGTATAAGATGCTTGAGGTTCCCATGGACAGTTCTGTGCTCGCTTTGGATTGCTATGCTGCAGGCAGCACCTTGGCAGTTATTTCAGGGCAAAGGCCGAATGGCTGCCTATGCTGGGCAATTTTGTGACTGCTGCAGGAGCCTGCTCCATGCCACCTAAACTGCAGCTGCTGCAATGCCCTGTCAGGCCCCTTCTTCCCCACCTCCTCCTCCCCAGACAGCCTGGAGCCTCCTGCACCCAGGGGAGGGGGATCACATCCCTTTTCCCTGCCCCTCAGCAGCCGCCACCATGACAAGAGCTGATTATTCCCTCCACTAGGGGCCAGTGGTTCTACTGAGGCCAAACCTGCCCCAACTTCCCCATGTGCTTCAGGCTGGATAAGAACAGGTCTGGTTGGTTTGTACAAGCCTGGTCTGGGTACACACATGATAGTGGCCACGTGCCCTCCCAGATAACTAGGGTCTCACTCTGCTTCCTCTCACCTTTTCTCTAAGTGCTTCTGGTGCCGTCCATTTCACCGGCAACTTCCCCGTGTCCTGAGTGGACGATGCCTCCTTGGTCAGCCCAAAGTCGCTGACCTTGGCAATGTTGTCCTCCGAGACCAGCACGTTTCTCGCTGCCAGATCCCGGTGGACAAAATTGTTGGCTTCCAGATACTCCATGGCTTCACAGACATCTCTGTGGGGAAAGAGCAGCCGGTGGACTCAGTGGCGGGAGGCCCACCCGGATGGCTGACCCCCACAGGAGCAGGGAGTCAGGTGGCCATGCCCCTCAAGGCTAGGAGCTACTGGCAGGGATGGTGTGAGAAGCACGGAGCATGACTGGACCCAGAGACCTGGCCGTCCCGTGGGTCTGTGGGGTGCTGCATTATGAGGTTGCAGGGGCGCCTCACGATGTCATACTTACAAAGAGAACTTAAGCAGGCAGTCTCCGCTGAGCACAGACCTCCCTCGGGATCTCAGGTAATCTACTAGGCTTCCCTAGCCAGACACAAGAGAGAAAAGGACCATCAGGGCCAGCTGGAGAACCCTGACGCCCCACCTCACCCTACACGTGCTGCCACTGTGGCCCCTTTCTGAAGATAAGCAGGATCCAGCTGGATCAACCAGGGAGGCCCTTCAGGAAGCAGGTAACAGGGCTTCTGTTTGAGCGAATGGGCACTGACAAACAACATGCTGGCTATGGACTAAATCGCCCTTATCCACAGTAGCAGCAGAGCAGCAGCACAGCCTTACCCTGGGGTACATCCCCTCCCTACAGACTATAACACAGTCAGACACAGGCAGGGAGCGTTCTACTGGCCAAGCTAGACCCTACAAGCCTATGGGGTCAGGATGGCAATCCTGAGCTGCACGTGCCCAGCCAGGAAGTTCTTCTGTGACCAGCACAGGCTTAATGGCAGGGAAAGGCTGATCTCCAGGGCTCCTGTGGCCCAGTTGGCTACCTGCAGTGTGGGCCTCACCTTTGCCATGAACTCGGTGACAATGTAGAGGCCACTCTTCTCCTCCACGATCACTCCCAGCAGCTGCACCAGGCTGCTGTGCCGGAGCTGCCTGTGAAGGGATGGGGAAGGGCTCAAATGCCTGTCCAGCCAATGCCCGTTCCAGGGCACTGCTCAGGGTGTCCCTGGGGCAATGCTACTGCTAGCAAGGCCCCAGCCCCAGCACATAGACCTATCATGACCCTCATGGTCCAGACCCTTCCCCACGCCCCCCCTAGACCCTGCTCCACTGTGCCTCAAACCCCTCAGTCACCTCCCATCCCTCCATCTCCTTCCACACCAGATGAGGACTGTCCCTGTCCTGCTGCTCCTTCCCAGCTCTGCTGTCCAGGGGCTGCTGGCTTTCTCCACCCCCAAAAGGAGACCTCACTTCCATCTGCACATCCTTCCCTCTCAGACACTCACGTCATCACTGAGGCCTCTGCCAGAAAGGCCTGGGCGGTGGCGTCGTTTTTAATGCACTTTACGGCAACCTTGTTTCCCCGGTAATCCCCTAGCATCACATCTGAAAGGAGAAGACAAAGGCTGAAGGCATCTGAAGAACATCAGCTCCTCCATGCAGAGGGAGCTCCACCCAGCCCAGCTCTGCCTGCTTTGCCCCATATCTGGATGGGAGAAGTGGCCAGAAGAGAAAGCATTGACTTTAGAGCCCTGACCGTGACCTGGAGACACCACCAGACTTTGATCCGCAGGCCAAATGGGCTACGGGGAGCCAAGCTGGCCTGGGCCTGCTGCTTTCGTGAGTCCAAGTACTCAGCTCCCTCCCAGTCTGTGAAGATCCCTGCTGCCCTCAGCTGAATGTGCCAGACATGGGAAAAGGGTTGCTGTTATCAGAGCTCCCCTTGGATCCACGGGAGCATTTGGAGGAAAGGGAATACATAGGGAATGCCTATGAAGAGGATCACCCCCACCCTTCAGGATGGGGCATCATGGGCGAAGATGTAGAGGGGGGACCTCAGGTCTCCCTCATCCAGTAGAGGGGATCAACTCAGCATGCCCCATCTCCAGCTACTCCCCCAGCCCCTCCTCAGCACCAAAGAGGGAAGAACGAGCAATGGCCCCAGCTGACCTCCAAATTCTCCTTTGCCAATGATCTGCAACAGCTTCAGGTCCTTCATGTTGAGGGCCCAGCCACCTGGAGAGGGACAGAGGAGAGATGAGCAGGCACGCACAGTGATGGCGAGACACAAGGAGATGAGGGGAAGGAGAAGGGGTGCATAGGGCCAGGCCCACACTGCCAAGGCTCCTCGGGGAAGGACTCACTTCGGGAGAACTCATCCTGAGCTGCCACTGTCCCCTCCATGACCTTTGGCTTGATGAGGCGCGTGCAGAGCCCATCGGCGTCTGAAGTGTAATGCTGCCAAGGGAAGAAGGACAGTATGAGACACTGACCCGTCTGCCCATCTATGGGAGCAGCTGGAGCTGCCTCCACTTGATGCCTTTACCCCATCTGATGCACCATGAATGGGATGTCCTAACTCGCCAGCCCCCACCCACAGGAGCCAATACTGGAGAGCAGATCTAGGGCTCCAGGGGAGATGCCAAACCAGGAGATGGGCACAGACTAAGCCCCCTCAACACCTCCCTCCCCACAGAACAATGAGATGGACCAGCCGGACTGTGAACTCCCAAAGGCACCAGGCTGGCCCCTTACCACAAGACAGCTGCCACACAGGGTGGGGAGCACAGTGAGAGGCTCCAACACTAGGCCCAGTAAGGACCCCTTCCCCTTGCTCAAGCTCAAGAAAAGCTGGAAGGCAGCACTATGGAGAAGGTTCTGGGAGTCTCAGTTGATCAGAGACTCGATAACTCTGCAGTGTGCAAATGCAATTTTGAGATGCATCAATAGAAGCATTAGGTGCAAGTCATGGGAGGTGATAGTGCCTCTCTACTCAGCACTGGTTAGGCCTCATCTACAGTAGTGTGTGCAGTTTTGGGCTCCACATTTTAAAAAGGACATGAAGAAGCTAGAGGGGTCCAGTGGTGGGCAATAAAAATGATAAAGGGCTTGAAAGGCAAGTCGTATATGGAAAGGCTGAAGGCACTAGGCATGTTCAGCTTGTAGAAAAGGCACTTAAGAGACAAGACAGCAGTCTGCAAATACTTGGAAGGATGCAATAACAAAGAGGGAGAACACCTTTTCTTTTTTGCTTCACCAGGTAGGACATGGACCAACGGCTTGAAGTTGCAGCAAAGGTTTGTTACAGCAAAGGTTTGGATTGAATGTCAGGAAAAACTTCTTTAGTGCTAGAACAGTGAGGCAGCAGCACAGACCATAGAGAAGCTGTGGATTCTCCATCACTGGAGGTGTTCAAGAAGAGGCTGGATGGACATCCACTGGTTGCGGGTGATTTAGGTATAGCTATGCCTATGTTCTACTATGGGTATATTTACACATGTTTTTGGGCTTTGCTGGTTGCTGCATGGGGCTGGGAGGTAATTCCCCCTCCCCACCCCGCTGCTACGTGTCAGGATTTAAGCCTTGCTTAGAGGTACTGAGTGCTGGCTGCAGCCAAGGCTGGGGATTTTGACTGGCAGGTACCAATGCTTGTGCTGGAACTTAAACCCAAAAGTTCCCAGCCAGATGGTCTTGCCTCTCTGCTCACAGTTAAACCAGCTGCCATATTTGAGGTCAAGAAGGAACTCAGATTGGTATGGACTGTGGGGGGTTTTGCCTTCTTCTGTGGCAGGGGGCATGGCCCTTTTCTTCCTGGGATTTCTTGAGTATATTCTGAATACCATTTACAGCATCAGGATGGTGACCACTATGGTCCCCCCTGCTTTACCTATGGCAGGTTAGGGCATTATGTCTTCTGTCATGTCAGGGTTAAAGGTAATCTTGCTAAGGGGTTAGACAGTGGATTTGTATAGGATGATTTGGATAGGAATGATCTTGCTTCAGTCAGGAGGGTGGACCAGATTACCTATGGAAGTCCCTTCCAGCCTGACTTCTTTATGGTTCTATGAAAAATTATTACAAGGCTGGGAAACAGGTCTTAGAGGGAAAGGCTGAACGCACTAGGACTATTTAGTCCAGAGAAGAGAAGACGGGGGGAGGGGGGGGCAGGGATTTGATAATAGTCTTCAAAAACTGAATGGAGATTATAAAAAGGATGGAAATGACTTTTCTCTGTGGTCACAGGGGAGAGGACTAAAAGCAATTGCCTCAAACAGGAACCAAGGTTGGAGATTAGGAAGAACTTTCTCATTACAAGGGTGGTCAAGCACTGGAACGGGCTACCTAGAGATACTGTGTGATCTCTGTTCCTAGCAGTTTTAAAGAGTAGGCTGCGCAGGTGCTTAACTTGGCTAGGATGGTTTGGTCAGGGACAATCCTGCCTTGAGCTGGGGGCTGGACTAGATGACCTCATAGAGTCCCTCCCAGCCCTACCTTCCTAGGAGCCTACAAAACACCAGAGCAAAGACCAGTGTGGTTAGGGTGGATCAAAGGGTGCAGTAGCAGCTGTGCCCACCACGGGGCAGCACGAGGCTGCAACAAGCTGGTCCCAAGACAGACACTCTGTCCTGCAGGCTGGAGCCTGGTGAGAGACCAGCACAGGGCAGGCAAAACCTGTGAGTATGGCCCCAGGAAGCCTGAGGCAAGGCCAAGGAAGGGCAGCCCCCAAGGAGGCTGGATTGTGATGCATCCCCACCCCAGAGCCAGCTGCACCACGCTGGCCCCAGGCCATAGTCCCATTGAGATGGGAGCTGGAGAGAACCCAGCCACCTGTGGGCCTGGGCTAGGAGCTGCTGGCAGGGAAAGGGCAAGGCCTGGGCTGAGCAGATCCATGGGGCCTGCTCCCAGCCGGAAAATACCATTTCCTGCCCTTTCCCCAGCAGCAGCCGCCTCGGCTCTGGCACATCCCACTAGCCTGTCACAACCCAGGCCCAGCTCATGCCCACAGCGCCCAGAGGGCTCAAAGCCCGGCAGAGCTCTGCCAGCCCATGGACCCTTTCACCCCTTCCTGGTGTCTTAGCTCCTGGAGCTGGCAGACATGGAGCCTGCCCTTGCACATGGGCACGAGGGGGGCAGGGCCCTGCCCACCTCCCAGCACTGCCCAGTTGTCCTGGGAGCCACAATCCTCACAGGGTCCAATGATGCTGTCCCGGTGCCACCTTCCCAGGGCCCTGTCCCATGCTTTGGGAATCCATCATGCAGTGGAAAAAGCCTCCTTGCCCCACATGAGTTGAGGAGAGGGGAGGGGGACGGGAGGCAGGAAGCACTTGGGAGTTTTGTCAGTCGTTATCATGCATCGTCAGGCTGAGCCTTGCTAACCACAAGCGCCCTGAGCACCGGGGAGGGGGCTGGGCACCATGGGGAGCAGAACTGCTAAACAGCAGCCGGCCAGTGCCTGGGAAGCATGGGGGGAAGTTGGCTCACGCTGAGCACCTGTGGGACTGACAGCCAGGCTCTGCAGCATTGTGCCTCGCTGCCTACATGCACAGGGCAGTAGGAGCCATCTCCACCACTCCTCTCCCAGAAGAGACCCACAGCCTATAGGGCCTGGCCAGCCTGGCAGGCACCCCTGCTTCCCCCCCCACAAACACACGCAGGTACCAGGCATGGTTTGCAATGCAAATCCGTATGCAAAGCCAGGCTTGATGCGAGGGGGAGAAGTACGGTCAGACAACCCCACACAGGGAACAGAAAGCTCCAGGGAGATCACAGGTGCACTCACACCATAGAAGGGGGCAGGGGGGCTACCGTGTGTGAGGAGAGGGGCAGGGTGGAGGGACTACCTGGGGGGCTGCCGCAGGAAGGGCTGGTGGGGGGGCGCTCACCTCCACCAGCTGCATGAGGTTCTCAAAGTAGACCTCCTCATCGATGCTGAGCTTGCTGGCCGAGTAGATGATGCGGTAGTGCTCCACCTTGCCCTCGCAGCTCACGCACAGCGTATAGTCACCAGGGTAGTTGGTGCTCTCCCGCACAAGGAAGAGCCCTGTCTCAGGTGGGTACAGCAGCCGTTCTGCCTGCTCCCGCGTGATCTTCCCATGGAACCAGCTGTAGGCGAGAGAGCCCCAGGGTCACCGCACTGCCAGCAGGGGACAGGGGACAGCACTGGTCTCCCAGTGCTGCTCAGGGCTGGGGTCATGAGGCAACAGCTCTCCAGGCACAGCTCTGCCCAGGCCTGTCCTAGAGGCCACCTCATCATCCCAGCCCCAGGCCTGGATCGCAGCTCAGCCTATGCTGCCCTTGCCCAGCGCTGCTGTTGCAGATCCATGCTCCGGCTCCCTTGGCCCACGCTCGGCCCAAACCCACCCAGAGGGGTGGGGGCACTGCCAGCAGCATCACTCAGCCATGGGATGGAGGCTGATGGGTAATGCTGGGGCTGACAGGTAATGCTGGAAGGCAAGACCCTGGTTCTCTGGGCACTGGAGAAGGTGGCCTGATCCCCAACGTCTCACCCAGGTCCTGCCCTTGTGCCCATGTGTTCCCCTCCCCCTCAGCCCGTTGGCTGCAGGAATCTGCTCCCTCCCGCCAGGCGGAGGCAGGTGCTGGGGCCTCAAACCAGTTCCGCCAGTGAGACCGCGCCTGGGGCGAGGTGCTGAGGCAGGCAGCTCAGCACAGAGCATGAGACACAGGAAATACCCCCCCTCCAAGCATGGGAATGGGAGCCAGCAGCTCAGCTAGGGCTTCCTGCTGGGGTGCACTGCAGCGTGGGCGGCTGTCAGAGCACCCAGAGTCCCAGCAGCAGGAGCACATGGATGCAGGGGGTCATCCAGAGAGTGGGGGGTGCATCCTGAAGATAGGGGAGAAGCAGGGGTGGGGAGGAGGTTAGACAGCAAAAAGTGAGTGCAGATCATTGAGACATGCCTCCTTCCTGCCTCCCTGACCCCCATCTGTTTCCTGATCTGCCCTCACCTAGTACTGTCTGAAACCCTAGTGCACCCCAGACTGGCAGGAACATCGTTGCTACTGCGAAGGGGGGCAAAACAGCTTGTCGCCCAGGAGTGCAACAAAGCCCCGATGCAACGGGGAAGAGGCAAAAAATCCCTGCTGGGAGACAACTTGTAGGGACAGGGTGTCTACAGTATCCAACATCCACATGTTCCTGCATTTCCCATGAAGCCCAGTCCCAGAAAAGCTCTCCCCCCTCCCCTCTGCCTGTCATCCACCCAGACGTCAGAAGGGAGCAACCACAGGGCAGCGGTGCTGCCCGCACACAACCCCCAACCCTGATGACTCAGGGGTTTACCAAGTCAGCACTTCCCTGCTGGTTAACCAGGAAACACTGAGTGGAAGAGACGCAAAAACACACATGCACGGGCGCACACATGGACACATGGACACATGCACACGTGCAGATCTCTCCAGCCAGCAGTCCCAACCATTGTAAGAAGGAGGAAGCACTAAGATCACTCCAACCACCCACTGACTATCACCAGCAGCAGCATCACAGACACCGCAGAGAGCTCCTCCCCTCCGCCCCCTTCAACACACACCTTAAGATTTACCGCTGCCCTGGATGTGCCCCCTGAGCATGCCATCTGAGCCACCACTACCCCAGATGTGCCCCATGCCATCTCAGCATGACACTTCCAGATGCCCCAGTAAACCTGCCTCACCACAACAGGACTGGAGCTGCTTTGGTCTATGATACCCCCAGCCCTGAAACAGATCTGTGAAGGGCTCAGCTCCCTGGGGACCAGTACCCTCTAGTGGTGAAGGGTTACAGCACCAAGCTGCCTGTCACGCTCACGCTTGCTGCTGGATGCCCCAAAAGAAGCTTCTGCATTAGTATAAGGGCAGCAATGGGGTAAAACAAGCCTGGGATGAGGTCCGTAGCCTGCTGATCCTTCAAAAAGGTGCAGCACTTGGACTGCACCCTTCCCTGATCTGCGATATTAGATCAGTGCTCAAATGAACAGGGAGTGGGGGGACCTGGAATTTGGTAGGGCTGGTTTTGTTCCTGGTTCTGCCTCTTCCCATGGATACTCACGGCATCAGGCTGAGTTTGATGCCAGCTTTCACTCCTTCCCGTTTCTGCACATAGTTGGCAGGGATGATACCCTCGCGGCCCACCTTGTTTCTTGCTTTGTACCAGTTGGGGTCCTGGGAAGGGAAAGGAGAAGTTAGTGGAGTCCCTGCACATCAACGCCACTGCCAGGTCATTGTCGCCCTGCTGCCAGGTGCAATCGCCCCCTCTTCGAGTAATACATCTCCATACAGCCACTTTTGTCCACCTCAGGGCTGTCCAATTTCTAAGGGGCTGGGGGCCACAATGCCCTGTACCAGCACAAGCCACAGGCTACATGCTGCATGGATGCTTCTCTGCTGCACCATGGGCCTGGGTGCCTTGGCTTTACCCTCAACTCCCCAATTGCAGGCTCCTCTGCTGCACCATTCCACATGGCTGCCTCAGGCCCCAGCTCCCCCAGCACTGCGGCTGTGCCACGCTGCCCTGCTCCATCCCACCCCTTGAGATCCAGATGCAAGGAGGGAAGGGGAGCCTTGAGACCCTGGATGCTGCTGCAGCCAGAGCAATGAGCAGGTAGGAGCCTGGGGGCTGCATATTAACCCCTCACAGGCTCCATGCAGTCCAGGGCCACCAGTTGGACAGCCCTGATCTCCCTGAAGCCTTTTATCTTCACAGATCTCGAGCATGTTGCATATATACAGGCTACAGATGACACTGCAGCCAGCCCCAGCGTGAAACCTGTTTAACAACTCAGGGCCACCACTCACTAGGACAGGAACCAAAGGCTGCATCCAATTAACAAGGAAAACACTGATGTCTGTAGAACATAAGCCCCAGAGCTGGAACCCGACTGGGGCGAACTAGGAAGCATCGGGTCTTCCTAAAAGAGACGGACCACAATAATGGCCCACCACATCTCAAAGGCACTGGCAGGATCCCAGAAGCTGAAGACAAAAACCTTAGTTTTCCTTGGAGGTCTCCCATCCACACACTGACCCAGTCTGACCCTGGTTAGTTAAAGAGATGAGATCAGCAGAGGCCTGGCTGCCCACAGCCAAGCACCCATTGCAGGTGCTGGTGCCAAAGCAGGCTGCTGACTGCATGGTCTGCGCCATGATGGGTTGGACTTCGCTCCAGCCTCCCCCACTAGCCATGAGACAATCTCAGCAGCATCCCCATGGGATAAAGAGCATCAGGGGAAGCAGTGGGCCTAGCGAGAAGGCAAAAGACACTCACTAACAGCCCCCTGCAAGATGATGCTGGGCAGATCTGTCCTCCGGCTAGTGCCAACTGCCCATCTGGGTGCGCAAGGGGCACCCTGGCACAGCTCTGTGCTACCTTCACATGGTGGGGTCTCAGCCCCAGGGTACAGCCCCTGCTTCAAGCCAAGGAGCGGGGTGGTGTTTGGCAGGTGGCAGCATTGTCTGGTGCTTGCTGAGTCACTGCTGGCGGCTTCCCTCCCCAAACCCAGGCGGCTGCCTCCCGGGACGTGCCTGAGTCGCTTCCATTTCGGAGACGTTTAAATAATGCTCCCGCTAATTAAGCCGGCGGCCTGCTTCCTGTCCTGCCATCTCTGCTGGGGATAGCTGGGCCCGGCAGGGAGCCTTGTGCCTCACAGCTCCAGGACCCAGCTCTCCGAGTGGATTGAAGCCTGCAGTGGGGGATTCCTGGTGTTTTGCACTACCCCTTGTCACAACCCAATGATTTTGGTGCCTTGGCACGATGGAATTTTCCCGCCACATGAGAGCCTCTTGCCCAGCAAGTTTTCTGCTGCAACAGAAAAACCCCGGTGCAAGAGAGTTCCCGCCATTTGAATGCAAATTTGTGTCCCGCTATTGGCCAGTTCTAAATTATTCCTACGTGGCGGCTAGTAATTGGCTTGCTAGCCGTTTAAAATTTCGTGCGACTTCCGCCCAAGTCGGAGAACTTTGAGCATGCTGCAGAGTGCCTCTAAAGAGATCTGACTTGTGGCTGAGCTGATCGATAGACTGATCACCTATCGATTCTTCTCCCCGTCGCCGAGCGCAATCCTCGACGTACCCTTTCCCTGCCGGCTTAATTTGTGGACAGATTAGCTGGCCTGAGCCTTGCCAGCTGGAGCAACTCACATAGTTGTTCAAGCGACCGGACCACCTGCGTCGCGGCTACAAGCAGCGTAAGTAAAGTTTTTGCAACCAATAAGCTTTGTCTGCCTCTCCATTCACCAGCCCGCCCAAGCGACCGAGTGATTTCTAAATCATCTCGAGTCGGCTCCGGCCATCCGAGACACCCCTCAGCCTATATTTGCCACTGCTGTGCTCTCAAGACAGCCCCTGTACTCACGGGGCATGCTCCTCCCTCTGTGTGTACCCAAGGGGGATGCAGCTGCTCTGCCCCTGACTCAACACCAGGGTGAGATCCAGGGCAAGCCAGGCTGGGAGGTGGCATGAGGGTGCAATCCCCAAAGGTAGCACTAGGGGCAGCCTAGTGCACACAGGGGCACTCCAGGAGTGGGGGGCAAGATCAGAGCCCGGAGCCCACAGAGACCCTCTCCCCCCAACCCAATCCCATTACCTTGGTGACGGCAATGATGGTAAGGACATCACCCTTGCTGAATGGCAGGTCCTGCTCGGCAGTGCCGTGGAAGTTGTACTTGGCAATGCATTCCGTACCGGACGGCCAGACAGCCTGCCAGGGGGACAGACAGAGACGGGGCATCAGGGACTGACAAAGGAAGCCTAGCTTGGATGCTTCCCCAGGAGACAGCTGGGGCCAGGAGAGATCTGATGTGCAGGTGGCTGCTGGGCACCACACGTGGATGGGTATCATGAGATGCCCCTGGTCTGACTCCTTCCATGGGCCTGAAAGCCACTGGCTGGAGGGCTAGGGGGCTTCACAAGCAGACAAGGATGTTGAGCAAGCCATGGACTTCATGGGCGCTCTGCAGACCTTGGGACAGCTGTTCCTGCTTCCCCAGGGCAGAGCCACCCTCTGGGCTGGAGCATTCAAAGAGGAGGGTGTCTGGGAGGAAAACCCGAGGCTACGTGCAGACTGCAACAGGCTGATGCACTTGGAGGCAAAAGACATCAGTGCCCAGGTGATCCCACCGGGTTCAGCATGGCGGCAACCAGAAAGGATCAGGTTGTCTTTTGGGGCAAGACAGGCCCGGCCCCTAGCAGACAGCTCTGGCCGTACCTGCATTCCTGACATCTTCTCAGGAGGTTCTGGGGATCGAATCTCACAAGAGGGACACGTCACTTGGTACCATGAGACCTGGTGAGGAGAAGGACACAGGCTGTGATGAGAGCTCTGGGCTGAACTGATCAAATCAGTCCATGCCTCACTTACTCCCACAGCCCTCCAGAGGTTGCTTCCCCTTGCAGCGTGGATCACATTCTTAACCACATGGGACACAGGCACCACTGGCTGCAGGTGTCTATGAAAGGAGGCAGGATCCCTCGTGTGGGTGAACGAGGGTGGGGCTTCAAGGAAATTAGTCTGGAAGGCAGCTGCCGGGATGGCTCTGGGACACTTGCCAAGGCAGCGGCTGTGCACACAGGCAGAGGCGACTGCACGTTTTGAATCCACCTCTAAGCAGTTGGTGCCTGACGAGCGAGCCCAGGAGCTGGTCAACACCAGCCTTGCTGGAAGAAAGAACCATGGTCTCTTCTCCCTTCTTGGCGGCCTCATAGCACCCCCCCCACCCACTCCCCGTCTACTGTTCATCTCTCTCCCCCGACTGCTAGGAGCTTCCAACACCATCACCCCCCTGCACCCACGCTCGGCCTCCTGCTGGCTCCAGGTACATGTGGATGGCTCCTCTGCTGCCATTCAGTGTCCCCTTCCCCTGAGTGACGAGGGCCTGTGGCTGCTTGGGGGAAGGGAGGGCAGCAGCTGCAGAGGGGAACGGACCCCATCCTTCAAGCCCTGGGGACAGAACGAAGTGGCCCGGAGCCGTCGGTTGCACCCCAACTGCCTCCGGCAGGAGAGCAGCCGCATCGTCAGGGCAGGGGCTTTTAGCTCTGCCTTGCAATCAGGGCACTGGGGTGGATGGGGCCGCCCAGGGCTGCAGAGCCCAGTTTTCTGCATCCCAAGGACTCCCCACATCCCTCTCAAGGGCTCAGCAGCTGTATGTCTTTTAAACAGCAGCTCGAGTCATTCTCTCCCCCTTTCCCTCGGCCCCTGTGTGCCAGGCAGGCACCTTGCTTCCCTGCCGGAGACTAGGCAAGTGGGTTTTCCCAGCAGCTTCTCTTGCTGGAGAGCCAGGCGCTGTGCGTGCAGAAGCCGGAGGCTCATGAGCTAGGTCTGAAATGCTACCCCGCCCGCCAAAGCATGCACACACGCTCCTTAGCCTGCCTCAGAGCGTCAGACCCAGAAGAAGCTGGTGTAATTTGACAGAGCAAACAGGAAGTGGTCGGGGTAGGCGGCTGGGGCTGCTGCGTGCCCTTCGAAAACAGAGGCCCAGTCTGCCTCGGAGCCAGCGGCTGCTCCGGCTGGGGAAGGGCCTGGCGCTGCAAAACAGACCGGGGTTCCTCCCTGCACGCAGCCAGCCCCGGGAGGAAGGGGCAACTCCTTCCCTGGCGGGAAAGCAAGTGGGGCAGATGCATGGGGGGATGCATACTAGCTACCATCAGATCTAGTTCTTGCCTGGGGGGGGGAGCAGGGGCCAGGCCCTGGGATGTCCTTGTATGTGGACATGTGCATATGCACATGCATGTTTCTTGGCCTGTGGCTCAGGGCATCTGATCATGAATACCCCAAGGGGCTCCAGGAAAGGAAGATGCAGAAGTCCAACTCAGCTATAGCTGCTCTTCACTGGTGACTCTGGCTGTAGCTGAGACAGGGTTCAGGCTCCCTCTGCTTCCATGCAAGGGCGGGAAGGGGTGGGTGCCTTGCTAAGCCCAGCCCCTGCTATAGGGCTCTCAGCTCGGATCCCTCCCATTCAACCTTCTGGCCTGTCCCCATCTGCTCAAGATGCCTCCTCCTTCCAGGGGAAACTCCAGCAGACCCCTGGTCTGGAGCCTGGACATTGCAGTGATGAGCACATTAAGAAGGTGAGGGATGCTGAACATGGGGCTGGGGTCCTCCATTGGGGGGGGGGG